CACACAACAAAATAATTACAATGCAAATTGTGTAGTGTTGTGCAAATGGATTTACTTCATTAATAATTCATTTGAATAAGTTAGAGATTATAAATTTGTCTGATTTTTAAAATCAAAGAAGATATGTAAAACAATAATAGATATATATATATACAAAGCATATAATATAACAAAACCCTTCGAGGTTGGCACAATGTTTGTGGTTTATTATCTATATTATTCCATAGTTTGAAAGAGATAGATACATGGACTTTTTATCAGTAAGGATCTTTAAATTTTTCAAAAATACTCAACCCTGGAAATAACAGTTTAAGTTGTACCTGACAAAATCTTAGGTACTACTGAACTAGTACCTGACATCTTGAACTTTGTGCCAGACATGTAATAATAATATAATTAAAGACATAGAAGGACAAACTGGCAGACACCAGAGTCAGCAGAGTGACTGTGCTTGATAAAGTATGAATTTATGATTGACAATGTCTGTGACAAGTGTGTTATTTCCATATTTCCTGGCTTGAAAGTATTGTAATTGTTACTGATTCTGATTGCAAACACCACTTGACAAGATGTGAATAACATTCCAAGAGCTGGGCGATATTTCGGTTTTTTGATATAAAACCGTCACAGAAATAAAAACCATCAAAAATACCGTCTTCAGAAAATACCAGGGATATCGACCAGCTCTACATATACATTTATATTATGGTAAACACCACTGACAAGTTGCAAATAACCTTCATTACACTTTTAAACACATTTTTTAAGAAGGATTTGGGGTTGAACAGTGTTTGGCTATTCCTACCCTTATGGCACTTTATAATCAGGAATGTGCTCCTTAAAACAAACTATATATGAAACTTTTAGTGAGGGTGTAAATAAATTCCCCCAGCCTTTATAGTATTATTTGTATGGTATAGTACAGTATATTATGAAATAAGGAAAAATATTACAGGAATGTACTAGCTAGATTCAAACATGTCTGTATGATTAATTAGTATTTATAATGCATGTGGTTTAATTTTGATCATTGTTTAATTGGTATCTCAATATAGTAAATAACTAAAAAGGATAGTATTTATTATAATAGAAAATGAACAGGCTTTCAATCAACAAACTGTAACATTAAGCAAACTTTAGCAAACAATAAATATTTAAGTAGTTGTCTATTATGTGAATTATGACCTGATAAAAACTATATACAATAATTTACACTTACTGTAATTGATCATGCTTATATTATTATTTACCTATGTTGTGGAAATAGTAGGCTATCTATCATATGTTACAAATCTATATTTTCATACTGGAAAACTTATGTTGATCATAGCAAAATTAATTTTTGGGGAGTATTAACTTACAGATACAGGTCGCTAGTCTGTCTTGATGTGTGTATATATAATTAGACATTCTATTTTATATCAAAATAACTTCCAACAGCCTTAAATCTTATGCCACATTGATAGGGACATAATCACTCACTTGTGATGAGAAAACAAAGGAACTGATTAGTTGCCAGGATTAACATGTATTACAGGTGATACATGTACATAAATACAGTTATTACTATACAATATACATCTATTCATAATCATAACCCCCAAAAATATATATTCTATATACATTAATACCACTATATTTTAAAAAATAACTCCCATTAATAAATATTTACATCTCTAGATTAGGTTCTGTCATGTCATAAATCTATTAATTCATACACTGTATAAGAAGACATGTGCCCATCAAAAATCTATGTCAGGTGTGCTATCTCTTTTTGTTAATTTCACAAAAAACTCAAATGGCAAATAAATTTAAATTGGAACTCCAGGAAAATGTCAATTATGACATGCTCAGGGGCTCTACCATTATACATTTACAAACTTAAATAAAAAGATCAAACAAGCCAACAGTCAGGCTGATTTTCTCCACCGAAATGTCAAAATAAGTAGATGACACATATTGACTAATTGCACAATTATCTTTTTCAAAAGTATTGAGCAATCAAACTGATTATCAATACTTAGTCTAAGCATAAAATGTTCACGATCAAACTCAGTCAAGGTTTTGAAGTACCTGGTAGTGGAACTATACACTAAGTTTCATCACTCTCCATCAGTTAGAATCAAACTTATCTTGTGCCAAAGCATCGACCAATGAAATTGCTTAGCTCTGCTTAGCTTCAGTGAGAAATGTTAATCATTGAACTCGGTCAAGACATTCACCTAATGAACATCTTCCTTACGTTTAAACGTTCTACCCCAATTAAAAGCAGAGTTGTTATGTTCCAAAGTCTTGACCAATCAAATTTCTTATCGCCTAAGCAGAAAATTCTCATCATCAAACTTAGTCAAGGTATTGATATTATGAATCTATATTCAGAGTTTTATTGCTCTCACCCAATTAGAACCCAAGTTATTGTGTTCCATGGTCTCAACCAATCAAATTGCTTATCTCTGCTTAGCTTAAGTGGAAAATATGCATGATTGAACTCTGTCAAGGCATTCACCTAATAGACACCTACACCAAGTTTGAATATTCCACCTCAATTAGAAGAAGAGTTATTGTGTTCCAAAGTCTCGACCAATCAGATTGAGGTCTCTACTTTGCCTAAGCAGACAATGCCCAGCATTGAACTTTGATGAGTAAAGTATTTATGTAATGAAACCATGCACAAAGTTTCGCCACTATCACTCTATATTACATGTATATATGTCTTTGTAGCTTAGGAGGAACCTATGGAAGATTAGTTTTTGTGGCAAAATAAATACGTTGCCTCATTAAATAAAGTTTTTATTATTATTATTATTATTATTATTAGAATCAAAGTTGTCAAGCTCCAAAGTCTCGACCAATCAAATTGCTTATCACTCTGTTTACCCTGAGCCAAAAATGCTCATTATCAAGGTATTAATGTGACAAAACTATATACCAAGTTTCATCACTCTCACTTAATTAGAACCAAAGTTATTGTGTCCCAAGGCATCAACCAATCAAATTGCTTACCTCTGCTTATAATTACCCAAAGGCAGAAAATGCTCATCTTTGAACTCCATTAAGGCATTCACCAAGTTTGAGAGAGAGAGAAAGAGAGAGAGAGAGAGAAATGGGGTTTAATGTCCACTCGACACAAACTAGGTCATTTCGGAACTACATATGGTTCATCTTTATTTCAATAATTCGCTGGCATGTAGGGGTCTTTACTTTAGCAGTGGGAGCAAACCGGAGAACCAGGAGAAAACCCACGAGGTTGGAAGGTGACCCTACTCCTTGTCACATACAACCGGGGAATCGAAAAAACACGCAAGTTGACCTTATGATACAATGCGCATTCACCCCCCCCCCCCATAAGTTTATTGTGTTCCAAAGTCTGGACCATTCAAATTGCTTATCGCTCTGATTACCCTGAGCAGAAAATGCTCATTATCAAACTTAATCAAGGTATTGATCACTCTCACTTAATTACAGAACAGTAGGACGTTAAACCCCATTTTATTTCTCACTTAATTAGAACTAAAGTTATCGAGTCCCAAGGCATCAACCAATCAAATTGTTATCTCTGCTTACCCTAAGCAGAAAATGCTCATCTTCGAACTCCATTAAGGCATTTACCTAATAAACACCTACACCAAGTTTGAACATTCTAGCTCAATTAGAAGGAGAGTTATTGTGTCCCAAAAAGTGTAATGGACAGACAGACGGACGGACAGATAGACGGACAGACCCATTTTAATAGTCCCCTGCTTTCTTTGAAAGGCGGGGGACAATAATAAAAAAACATACACAATCACATAATATACTTTCTGACAGAATGAGGAAGGAAAACAAATATTTTCATTTTCACTAGAGTAAATGTAAATATACTACTGGGTAGTAGTAGTAATTAAATTTTAATGTTAATAATTTTGGAAAATATTGATCATTTTTTCTCACTCTTGAAATTTTTATCTGATTATAAAGTCTCAGCACTATTCCTTTATTGTTTGTTCCATGTGTTTTGTCTGGGTTTTTTTGTTATGCAGTTATACTGCATTGTCTCCTGGCATACTCCAAATTGTACTTACATTGGTTTCAACATACACTTTTTTTAAAATAAAATCACTGCTTAAGGGGGGAGGCTACCCGAAAAATGTGTTCTTAAATTCTAAAGCTATTGAATTGAAAATGGTACTAGTAGTTAGGAAATGTAATAAACAAGGGAAAACAAACATTTAAAAAAAAAAAACGAAAAAAAAATTGTTGCTCGAGTAACACATTTTTTTGGAAAAAGTAGGAAAACCGTTGGTACACCATATCTCTGGCACTAATAAAGATAAATGTCACATTTTCAGACTGCTTATTCTTTAATGGTAACCCTAAAATCAGACAGAGAGTTTTTCTCTTTAATTTTCATAGTTTCTTGGAAAATTGTGTTTAAAACTTTTGCCTCACCATAATATTTTGTCTTTCAAGAAACATTTTGATAACTTTTGAAATATTAATGATAATTCAAATTGCTTTCTGTCTGATTCTGGGGTAGATATTTGTTTATATATCCTACAAATTTGGCGAAGATATCTTAATTAGTTACAGAGATATAGTGTAGCTACACTTTTCATAGTTTTTCCCCAAAAAATGAGTTACCTTGGCAACAACTTTTTTTTCAAAGTTACTTTTCCCTTCTTTATTACATTTCCTAACTACTTGTACCATTTTCAATTCAATAGCTTTACAATTTCAGAACAAGATTTTTTGGGTAGCCTCCCCCCTTAAGTACAAAGTCTAATACTTATAAATAAATATACTGAGGATAATCATAAACAATATTTCTTTAACAGATTAAAATATAATATTATACAAAACATTAATAATATGCGATTTATATTTAGCAATAGAGAGAGATTCATTCAGATATAAAATGTAGTTACAAATATGTATATGTACAAATGTTATGTTTTATTCAGACACTACGTACCTAAAAAAACCATTAACATGTGATTAATTCACTTATTATTTAACTGTGACAAAATAAGCAGAAACAAATGAAGAGACTGAATTGAAATTATAAAGTACCTGTAAAGATATAGGTTACCAAGTATTGAAGCATACAGCCACCACTATCAACTTAGTCCTGGCTCTCTGTATTGTGCTCGTAATTTACATAAATCATTGAAATTTGATTGGGTTTTTTTTTGCTCTCAATAAAGTAAACAATGCATAGAAATCTCAAAAAGATCAGTAGATAGTGGCCCAAAAGGCCTTAATATATTATCAAGAACTAAACCTCTACAAGCAATTTTAATACATCATTGAAATCGAAAATGGCATCTTTGTATCACAAATTTTAAAAGAATTAGACAAAAGTGAATCTGGATAATTGATGAACAGACAGGTGTGAAAATGACCAGACTAAAATGAGATATACACTGAACATTATTTGACCTCAAATAATGTTAGCATGGCAGTACTTACCTCTGACAAGGTATTAGTTATGCTGGCATTTCAAAATTCAACAATGTTACAAAAAAACAGTAAAATCTCTCTTTCATTACTAACAGGTGTTTTTATGGAATGTCCTAACACCTAATACTTTTTACTCATTTAAAATACTAAATGTCTTAATACTTTTTAACTCACTTAAAATACTTTAAGCCAGCTACTGTGAGGAATTTTTCGATAAATATTTCCGAGTCTAGAACAGCAATATGAGCAGCTCTGCCTATGATAGTATTAGCTGTACTTGGTAGAGCATGGAATACATCGTATCGAATCAGTTTACAATTAGGTGCATCCACTATAGGTCGTAAAAGATTCTCTACCATTTCCTTGTAAATTTTACCTGTTGCAAAATATAAAGTCGTTTAAAAATTATCAAATATTGTAAAAGATCATACAAATAGATTTTGGCATCTTCAGAAAAAAAGCATTCGATATAAACATTTTATAGAATATGAACTTAGACATCAAAATACGTTAGTCAGAACAATATCTTACATATAGTTGTTCACATTTGAAACAAAGAAAATGGTGTTTTTATCAAAGATATATCAGGTGTCACAGGATCATTATAATTTCAATCTTGATAAAGGGTACCACACCCGAAACGTTGATTTATTAAACGATCCTCTACTTCTACAAGTCTGTTGTGGTTTTCTGTTGAGCGGGGATTCTTAAATTCATATATCAGATATGTATATAAATCTGAAGAATGGTACTGAATATTTATCAGCAAGAAGTATCTAAGATGGTCGGTAACAAAAAATAAAATTCATGAAATTATACTCAAAACAGACTGATCTGTACCAAGGACAAAGTGGGTTGGGTCAAAGAAAATATGTTATTATCATCATCCTGTGCTAGTATATATTAAATATTTTAAAGATACATTATGTAAGATTTAGATAAAGAACTAGCCATTCTTGCTATAATAGTTCGAAAGTAGATGATGTAAAATGAATAATTTGAAAATTTCATTCAAATTACTCTATTGCCAGCGAAGATATTAGCCTTTGAAGGTTTGACAGACGTGTGCAATAATTTCAACCACGGTACTGGTTGATCGAAGCTAAGTCTCGGTCCTCCATATTTGATTAAATCAAAGTATCGCTGAACCATTATAATCTATTTAATATCGGAGAAATCTGATGCCATCGAGAGTTGATTAAGGCCTGGATCAGTTAATTAATGTCTATTTAATACTTTAGAATCCATTTCAGGCCTAAAGAAAGACCTGCAATAGGCAGATTTAGCTCTTGCATTATGTATGTTTAACATACCTGTAAGACTAGCATCTCTTTGTGCTGATCTACAATATTCTATACGTGAAGAATGATACGGTACATATCTATCTTGACTTGAACCAACTAATACAACATTCTTAAAATGATGTAATACTGAAAATACAATATTACATTCTTTATAGCAGTTACATCTCTATCAACTCAAAACAACAGTTTGTGCTCTTCATGCAAGTTTGGAAAAGTCATTGGCATATATCTCTTGAGATGGGTTTTAATGGCCACTCAACACAAGCTAGGTCATTTTGGGATGACTAACATAAGGCATATTTTAGTTTCTTGCACCAAGAGTCTTTTGACTTGTATTTGATGATTGAAAGGTTACCTACTGTTTTCCCACTAGTTCACAGCATACATATACATATATATATATATTTTTTTTTTTTGAGGTGATATCAGGTGTTCTAGAAAAAAACAGTAAGCAAACCCTCCTGTATACGTAACACCTTCACTACTTTTAAAGAAATTTGACAATAGTATGGGTTTGAGATTTCACAAGTAGAAATGAGCCGACAGTATATTGAGAATGGAATAGAAATGGGTTTAACTTCTAAATAAAACAATACTTCAGTCAATTTGACTATTGACAAATATGATGAGAGAACAAGGTGACAATATAAATGTTTGTACCTGATCTTTGACTAAGTTGATATAAAAAACACTGACGTGGATCACTGTGATCTTTCAAAGATAACTGTAATAAAGATCCAGATTTCTTCCATTTCTGCATAAACCACATTCCTACAATAAAAACATTATTGAAATGAAATAAAGTTTTGTACCAACCAGGCCATAAAGTAAGGCCGACTGGTATGCCATGCAGTGTTATATGAGTGAAATTTTTTGTGACAGGGGATCTATAACATGCTGCCAATAGCATACACATAACCTCAATTTTATGTCCTATCCAAACAACTAGGCAGTTTTCTATGCCAAGTCAAATAACATTTTTCTTGGAATAATTCATAAGCACTAAATTGTATCATTCCAGTGACTGTCATAGTTAAAGATCAGTTGTTTTCAATATGATTTTACATATAGAGATACTATATAAACCTACCCATATTAACTAATCCACTAGTATTATATAATGTACCAAGATGGGGACCAGATAAAGATAAAAACGTGTACATTCTGGGTAATAAGTGTCGTAATTCCTTCCTGGCTAGAGCTGATCTTATTATAATATTACCTAAAGAATGCCCAACAAAACTGAAAAATACAAATTTAAGTCATACCTGTTAAATATGTTCATACAATAAACTTGAAATAAATGTACCAGTATTAGTGGATAACTTGTAAATAATGTTGGGAATGAATTAAATCTATGTACTGGTAAATACTAGATGTATTAGATGATTACATGGTATTGAATATAAAACACAAATTTATATGGAAAACAATCACTGGGTTTATTTCACACTAGTTTCAACAAGTTCCTCTTGTCGTTCTCAATATGCAAGTCTGTTCTGCCAGTCATGGCGGTTCCTCCCCACACCATAACAGACCCATGCCCGAATCTAACGTTAGCGTTAGCATGACGCTCATTTACACCAGCACGCAGCAGTTTTCATCAACCCTGCCTTGAAGTGTCAAATTTGACAATGAACCCCTCCCACGTGTATGGACTATTGCATGTCCCACGTGCAGTTCAGTGGTTCTGTTGGGGCGATGTGTTCTTCATCTGTGAACATACTCTCAAGGCATGTCAAGTGTCCATGATTATTTATCATATCACAACCTGCATAGGTATTTGCATTTCAATATCCCCTAATGAAGAGTATATATGTAAACAAACTAACAAGAACTTAATTCCCTTGAAGGTAGCTCACATTAATCAACTTATTAGGCATTCACGAGTGGTGAGTAGAGTTATTTCATGAATGTATTTATTTGTTTGGAGAAATGTTTTATTTGTACCATACCTGATTCTCTGTGCTTGTAAACCATATAGATCTATATAAGATAATAACTCTTCCACCAGACGGTCTGTCATTACATCAAAGTTAGAAAATGTATCTTGCTGTAAAATACAATTGAAAACTGAACAACATATATTTAAGTGTAGCCTATATTTGAAACCTATTTATTTGTGATTATGTCATGTTTCCAACTACAGTATTACACTTACATGTACATGTAGTACAGGGTCTTCGGATCAAAATATTGCTTGTAATAAACTTTCATTCCTGCATCAATGCCAATATCTCAGCTTACAAAATGGACCATTTCTGGATTCCCAGTTTATATCGTTATGTGATGTAAAATGAAATTTCAGTGCATTTTAACAGTGTATTTAGTTTAAACTGTATACATGTATTCATTAAATTTTTATGACAACTATCCCTTTGCCTTCATTTTTTTTAAAGATGTATGTATGCAAACAGTAGTGAAGTTATTTTTTAATGTAGCCAACTATGGAAATGATATAATAATAAATTACCTGATTTCTCTCAGACATAAGGAATTCTAGTCTATAACCAGGTAATGCCATCTCTACATACGTTCTTACTAATCGTAAATCGGCACTGTTACCTGAAATAAATAATTTTGTCAGGGTCGGGGAATTGATTACCTTACATATGATAATGTCAAAAACTATTCAGTCTTTCTGATTCAGTTTTTAAAAACAATAACACAAACTTGTGGAAGAACAATTGCTAATTTATTTTGACATTTCAAGTATTCTTTCAACCTTACCATAATAAATTAGCAATTATTCATCGATAAGTATGTGTTATAGTTTATTGATATATCCAGTTACTAAATGCCTATAAAGGATTAATAGTTTAGAGAAGTGTGATATCTGTCTACAATTACAATTTTTAGGTAATCCACATTTTCAGCAAAAAGTAAAACAAAAATAAGCAAACGAACCACCTGTTGTATAATCCTTAAAGATTTGAACCATATAGAGATTATCCCACCACTAATCGAAATAATGCATCCGATGGATTTTATTCAAACTTTATTATGATCCAAACCAAAGAGATTTACTCCCTTTAAAAATAAATGTTTTAAAAATATACTGACCATCTAGACCATGAACACAAACAATAAGATGTATACCATCATTATCATCATCAGTATCAGGTGTAACAAAATATGGTGATACAGATGCTAATGTTGGACATTCACTTAAAAATGAAAAAAAGTTTAATGGATTTACATTTCACATAATATTAAAATTGTGATGAAGCTTTTTACAGTCAATTTCTAATTAGGTTCTGTGGTGATTGACATGTAGAATTAACCAGCGGCTGCCAGGCAGGATACGTACAATCAGGGGCCATAATTCAGGAAGTTAAGGTCCGATATGCGCAAATATCAAAAGGAACCGAGATCTTTGGGTTATAAACTTACATTTCAAGTTTCAACAAAATCAGATAAAAATTGTGACCTCTATAGTGTCCACAACCTTGATATAGCATATTTTTACGCTATTTGAGAACGAACGGCAGGCATTTTGTCTGTCAATTTAGGGGCGATTTTCACAAAATTTGAACTCCTTAGGGTCTAACGGTGATATAATAATACGTTTTTTTAAATCGGATAAAAATTATGACCTCTATAGGGTCCACAAGCTAAAAACCTGATTTTTTGTACAATCAGGGGCCATAATTCAAGAAGTTACGGTCCGATATGCGCGAATATCGAAAGGAACCGAGATCTTTCAAGTTTCAACAAAATCGGATAAAAACTGTGACCTCTATAGGGTCCACAACCTTGATATACCATATTTTTACGCTATTTGAGAACGAACGGCAGCCATTTTGTCTGTCAATTTTGGGCTGATTTTCACGAAATTCGAACTCAGCCGTCCTTAGGGTGTAACGGTGATATACTAATACGGTTTTTTAAATAGGATAAAAATTATTACCTCTATAGGGTCCACAAGCTAAAATCTCGATTTTTCGTAAAATCAGGGGTCATAATTCAGGAAGTTACGGTCTGATATGCGGGAATATCGAAAGGAACCGAGGTCTTTGGGTTATAAACTTACATTTCAAGTTTCAACAAAATCGGATAAAAATTGTGACCTCTATAGGGTCCACAACCTTGATATACCATATTTTTACGCTATTTGAGAACGAACGGCAGCCATTTTGTCTGTCAACTTTGGGCCGATTTTCACGAAATTCGAACTCAGTCGTCCTTAGGGTGTAACGGTGATATAATAGTACTTTTTTTTAAATCTGATAAAAATTATGACCTCTATAGGGTCCACAAGCTAAAAACGCGATTTTTCGTACAATCAGGGGCCATAATTCAGGAAGTTACAGTCCGATATGCACGAATATCGAAAGGAACCAAGATCTTTGGGTTATAAACTTACATTTCAAGTTTCAACAAAATCGGATAAAAATTGTGACCTCTATAGGGTCCACAACCTTGATATACCATATTCTTACGCTATTTGAGAACGAACGGCGGCCATTTTGTCTGTCAATTTTGGGCCGATTTTCACGAATTTCGAACTCAGTCATCCTTAGGGTGTAACAGTGATATAATAATACGTTTTTTTAAATCGGATAAAAATTGTGACCTCTATAGGGTCCAGAAGCTAAAAACGTGATTTTTCGTACAATCAGGGGCCATAATTCAGGAAGTTATGATCCGATATGCGCGAATATCGAAAGGAACCGAGATCTTTGGGTTATAAACTTACATTTCAAGTTTCAACAAAATCGGATAAAAATTGTGACCTCTATAGGGTCCACAACCTTGATATACCATATTCTTACGCTATTTGAGAACGAACGGCGGCCATTTTGTCTGTCAATTTTGGGCCGATTTTCACGAATTTCGAACTCAGTCATCCTTAGGGTGTAACAGTGATATAATAATACGTTTTTTTAAATCGGATAAAAATTGTGACCTCTATAGGGTCCAGAAGCTAAAAACGTGATTTTTCGTACAATCAGGGGCCATAATTCAGGAAGTTACGATCCGATATGCGCGAATATCGAAAGGATCCGAGATCTTTGGGTTATAAACTTACCTTTCAAGTTTCAACAAAATCGGATAAAAATTGTGACCTCTATAGGGTCCACAAGCTAAAAACATGATTTTTCGTACAAACAGGGGCCATAATCCATGAAGTTTCGATTCGATACATGCCAATAACGAAAGCAGCCGAGATCTTTTGGAGATAAACCTATATTTCAAGTTTCGTCAAAATTGGATAAGAATTGTGACCTATAAAGTGTCCACAAACAAATTGTGGACGGACAGGGGCGACGGCATAATGCGTCCACATGAAATGTGGGCGTATAAAAAATAAACTACAGAAGTACTACAGTTTCGTTATATACCCTTGACATACATGCCCAGATTGTCAACTCTTCGGAAGCAGACGCAAGACTCCAAAAACATGCTCCATGTTCTGCAGAGGGTCTGTATTTGTCCAATGTAGATCATAATTTAAATTGTGTATTTAAGTGTAAATTTTGATAGTTTATCCTAAATATTTTCAGAAACCTATTTTTGGATTCAACTTGGCATATCCACTGAGGATTGGACGCCCATGTGCAGATAATGGAACATGCAAAATGAGACTGTATTGTTATCTACTATTCTTGATAAAAAAAGCATCACTCATGATCTTTTCCAATAATGGTTGAATTTTCCTTTATATTCTATTACCATATTTATATTTAGTGTATGTTTGTCTTTATATTTTTTTTATTTTAATACAATAGCTTTCATGAATGACATAGATCTGTTAATGTAGAATATTATCATACTACTGAGTCATTCCATGTCAAGTGGGCCAGGGGTGGGAAATTGACCCCTCGAAAAAATCTGGAAAAAAGATATGTTATTGTACATGTAAAAACTAGAAACTGTGCAAAATTTGTGGTCTGTAGCTTGAAAATGGACTGACATACGGGCAAATGAGTTTCATTAGTTACCGATAAGTTATCGAAACAAAATATGCATCAATAATTTACTTGAGTATCAGATATCTTATTGTTACTTTTCTAGTGAAGATATACAGCTGAAATTTGGTAGTCTTAAAGAACTTTATGTGTAGATTATGAATCTGCAATCAGATTATAGGTGAGTGGTAGGGTTCGCATGCTACTTGGCCATAAAAACCGAAAAACAAAATGGTGTGATTGTATATTTTCTGGATTTTGTAGTGCTCCAGGAGCTACAAGGTAATACATATAGACCCATATTTTGGCCTATCTAGAGATTGTCAGTAGTACTACATAAGAAACATATGAAAACGCATCAGTCTTCAATAGATTTGCATAACATTGGCCTCAAATATGGATTCAGACACAAATTTTCGAAAATTGCCTCGTATTTTCGAACCGATAAAACCCGGTAGATGAGTACCTAAAAATCTGAAATTTTGTGTGATTACAGGTTGTACTAATGTCTCCAACATTACGTTAAAGCTATTCTTGTCCCATGCCATCTCGATATTATTTCAATTTTTTCAAAATCTGTGTTTTGGGTCAATCTATTTGTCAAATATCGTATTTTCGAGCCGATTGAACAGTTAGTCGGATCAAGCGAAAAATTAGGAATATCAGCCTTTTAAGTACTAATGAACAAATAAATCAAATTTTAGCAAAATCGAAGGGCGTACGGTTTAACTCATTGGGTGATAACTCATTGGGTGATAATTGACATGGAATGACCCAAAACACAGATTTTGAAAAATATTGAGAAGGCATGGGACAAGAATGGTTTTATGTTACAGACATAAGTACAAATTATAATTCCACCAAGTTTCAGACATAAGTACAAATTATAATTCCACCAAGTTTCAGATTTTTAGGTGCTCATCTACCGGGTTCAATCGGCTCGAAACTACAATAATTGACATAGATTGACCCAAAACATAGATTTTGAAAAAATATCAAAATGGCATGGGACAAGAATGGCTTTAACATATGTTGGAGACATTATTACAAACTATAATTACACCAAGTTTCAGATTTTTAGGTGCCCATCTACCGGGTTCTGGATAGGCCAAACTTTGGGTCTATATGTATTACTTTATAGCTCCTGGAGCACTAAAAAATCCAGTAAATATACAATTACACCAAATTTTTGTCGGTTTTTATGACCAAGTAACATGAGAACCCGACCACTCAGCTTTAATCTGATTGCAGATTCGTAATCTACACAAAAAGTTTCTAAAAGACTACCAAATTTGAGCTGTATATCTTCAGTAGTTCACTAGAAAGGTAAAATCAAGATATCTAAAACTCAAGTAAATTATTGATACATATTTTGTTACGAAAACTTATTGGTAACTTATGAAACTCAAATGCCCTTATCTCAGTCAATTTTCAAGCTACAGACCACAAATTTTGCACAGTTTCTACATGTACATTTGAAAATTGACCCACTTGACATGGAATGACCCTAATAATTATCATTTTTATTGCAGGTGATAGATAATTTACAGATTAAATGTTAGTTTACTATAAATAAACAATGTTCTACTTCTATAAATAAACCCTGAATAACTATAACAATTACCTGTATATATGACCCTGATATTTGATTTGCTGTTTTAATTCTTCTCGTAATGTTATAAAACTGTAAATTAAAAAAGAAAATTCATTATATTAGTAAGAAATCATGTCTATTTAATAAATACTCAGACTGACCAGTAGGTCCACATCTTTTTGCGAGGGCTGCTTTTGATCCAACAATTATAACCACTCCATTTGAAATGAACCTATTAAATAGTTATTCAGTTCACACCTTTTCCCACAGTTCCTGATTATTATAATTTGTGTCGGATTTGGCAAGAAATGATTCCTTTTGGCGAACAAAGAAGAATCACAGAGAAAAATAGACGGTAAGGATTCCAAAATAGCCTTAGAATCGAGGGGGAAGAGCCTTATTTTCATATTAGTTGTCTGTAGGATGAGGCAGGAACAGAGAGAGGTCAAAGCCGGTAAGAATCTGTTACTAAAGTATCTACCTTGACTATAACTTTTTGTCCTATTTTTAATCCTGTTTTGTTTTCACAAGGCATTAAAACGACAGCTGTCGTATTATTATGATTTAATGGAAGAAAAATGATCTGTCGTATTATTATGATTTAATGGAAGAAAAATGATCTTTTATGCAAGTTTTATTGATAAATAAATATATGGAAAGATTGTTTTTTGGAAACAAAAGTGACTGATAAATGATACATGCATAATGATTATATACCATAGGTACATAAAATAACAAGATGATACATATAGCATGATCATAAATAGAGGATACCTATAGCATGATTATAAACATGATATGCATAGCATAGAACTGTGTTGTGTTATAAATATAGCATGATTATCAGGGCTCACACTGGCTTTCAATTTTTTTCCGCCAAAATGGATTAATATTTTTATGTAAAACAATGATGATATTTTTTATCCGCCAACTTGAATATTTATCCGCCAAAAATATATAATAAAAAAACACATATTGTAATAGCATAAAACAATTTTATTTCTTGTGCATTCTTAAACATTCTTAAATCATGAACAGGACATTTCTCATGGCTGATAATATAGCTTCTTTTGATTTGGACACCGATTTCTCTCTGGCCTTACCATGTCATTGCCATTTTCAAAAATCATTACCGCTGCTTTGTGGCTAGATGGACCTGAAAAATAAACATTATATTTAATACTTGGTCATCACTGACAGGATTGATATTATTGAGTCGTAGATATTCTGTAATAGGATTGTTATTGAGTCAAGGATATTCTCATATAAAATCATTCACATAAATTCATCAACATATAAAATCAGCTTACCTTTTGTAGACAGATGAGTGTCTATACTCTCTTTCTTCAGAACATTACACCCAGAGATGTAAAACTATAGCTGACTTTTGAATTTTCACATATTGAATAAAACACTTTCAGCGTGTATACGTCAAATCTCAGCCAAGGATTGCCAAATTTCTAGTTTTCTTTGAATTTTCGTTTCGCATGTACAATAGGCCTATTGTTGATTTCGGGTACCGTCATGGAATCAGCATCTGAATCATTAATCGTAGTGTCAATTTCATTTCGTCTAGAGGAGCCAACGTCAGACTCTTTGTTATTTTTAGAACACTTCGGCGGCGGTAACGAAAAAAAATGCAGACAGTTTACTCACTCCAAAATCGTCGCTATTCAACTCACTCTTTCGTTTTCGACCCATGGTGATAATATAATTTGAAATAATATCCAATTAGCCATGCTGTTATATTTATACATGTCGTATGAAGCCACATACAGTAAACAAAATTCAACTATCAACTCTCTTTGAAAAGAGTTGTCGGGTAACGATCGGCCATTTTGATTACTCCCCTTTGTTTTAATCACGCGACATCAAATAATCACCGCTAATCTATTTGTTAGGGTTAATTAATATGACGAATAAAGACAAGATAAAGGCTTTATTATCGGCAATTAACAATCAGTTGAAACCGTTAATCCCAGACAATTGTTTAGTATTACTCATGACACGTTCGGGATTATCAGAAAGTTGATTATAGTATACCGCTATGGTTAATCAAGGATAAATACGATTAGAATTTTAAGGATTTTTTTTCCCCAATTCTAAAAAAGAATCGCCAGTACCCCAAAACTTTATCGCCCAAATTATCGCCAAAAACAAAATTTAATCGCCACTTTCATAATTTTATCGCAAATTGCGAATTTGGCGACCGACAGTGTGAGCCCTGATGATTATAAATACTGATACATGAAGCATGACTATAAATACTGATACATGAAGCATGAAGCATGATTATAAAATAAAATCAATTCAAGAATTTTCTTTACAAAATTGGATAAATCTTATCGAATACATCATGATGGTAGACAGTAGTATCAATGTTGGTACAAAATGACACATTTACATCAGAGATTTGAGTCAAAGAATTTTCGTTCAAAGCAAGTTTCATCGGCGGCCAAGTTTATCGATGCAAGTATTGATGTTTGTTTGCTCAACATGCATCCAACCGTAAAATTTACTTGATGTCAGCGCTAACAAACACTGAGATTTTATTAAGAGATCACTCCCGTTAAGCAGTCAATCATGAAAATTCCCGTGAGTGGCTGCTTAATACAGATTCTACTGTACATGATCACAAAGAATGTTGTAAGGAATTAACTACTTACTTTATAGTATTATGGCCAACTAATGATACTAGTTTTGGAGCAGCACTGTCTGCAAACCTGGAAAGTTCAGGATTTGAAGACGATGAAGATAACAAACGAGATAATTTTTCACTAGATACTGATACATCACAGTCTAATTTACTAGAAGCAGAATTTAAATCTGTATGTGTATCCACTTTTCGAACTATATCTGTATCACTAGCAGCTCTATGACATGGCAACATGCCATGACTAGTCGATAAATTGTCATTTGTAACTGCCTCTTTTTGAGATTTTGTATATTCCTCTTTTAAAAGTTCTAAGACAGTCATTTGTGGATTAAATACACTACTTGTGTCTGAACACACAGAAACCGTGTCTAAATTATAATGAATACCGCTGTCTTTTGATAAATTACTGGCAGATACTGTGATGTTGACGCCATCAAGCGATGTGGCGTCAACTGAGGATAAGGCACTTGGATCACCTGGAGGTTTAGTTGTGTTATTAGGATCGGCAGTTTGTAAGTTATCACAGTTAGATATATTGGTAGTGTCTAATTTATCGGATAAATGATTCATGTTTTCAGGTTCCGATTCTTTACAATGTGTTTCTAAATAATCATCATAGCCATTACACACATCATCATCTCCATCATCACTTTCATCATCATTTGTTGATGTTATCAAATTGTTCACATATTGAATATTTGTCTCTTCTTCAATATTACCAACACTCTCTTTATCATCTTTACAAAATTCTAATTTTTTTCGTATTTGTGGATCAGAGCTTGTCGTACAAGGATCTACACTCTGATCAATATTGGCACTTTTTTGTAATTTTGCACCAGATCCTGGAATAGGAGCTGTATGAGACCGGTGAGCCTTAAATCTTGCTCTAGCTTTATCCAGTTCCTCAGCTTCTTGGAAACCAGATTCAGAACTATCTGATAAATGCCTTGATCTGTCCAGAAAGTCTGGCAGGGAACTGACGCTAGTTCTACTCCAACATGATCTCACTAAAAGTGAAGACATAGAAGTAGCACTCAGTGCTTTAGCAGACGGCATACCTAGATTGTCTATGGATGAAATAGGTAAGGGACTAAAGGTTCCGAGCTCCACTGATTTAGAGGGATAAAATTCCGGAACAGGTTTCTTCCTATAACCCAGCAACACAACACCTTTTTTATCAACATTAGAAGCTTGCTCAGCATCAGAACAGGAATATGAAGAAGGTCTACGGAATGCATCTGGTTTCATATTTTTGATAAATTTCTTTTTAGGTTGTTTTCGATGTAGGGAATCCTCTTTTTCCAAGGAGGATGATAAAACACTATCTTTAATCTCTACTGATTTCTCTGGTTTTATTTTCTTCTTTTCACTGTTTCGTAATTTGCTTACATCTGAAGAAGAAACAAGAACCACTAATTGAATTTCCTAATACTTTTTGGTGAAATGAAATGAAATGGGGTTAAAGTCCTTTTCTACCATATTATTTTGCACCAACTAGGCTAATAAAGATGGGTCTTTTGATTAACAAACTAAAGAACTGACTACATATAATCTTCATAACCCGATGAATTCTTACCATAACACTTTCTCTTTCTGATCTTTAGAGCTAAAGAATATTCTATCCATTTCTCACAATTCTGAGACTGACATAATTTTATCTTCTATGATTATGGCAATAAGACTAAATCACAATATCATCAATATCATGGCCATCTTCTACATGTATGTCTAATGGACACCTTGGTATGCACATAATTAAACCCCCGGAAATCAAAGACAAGTTTGTGGAAACACTGTAGTCTGAGAAAAAATCTCACATTAAACATGTAAGGATAAGCATAAAAATAAGCACCCGTTTGTGTCAATGACACATTAAACCCCATTAAATTCCATGTCCATGTGAGAAAATCATAAAGTAAACATTTACCTAAAGCATTCATCCAATTATCATGATAAATATCTTCAAATATAATAGGCATGCTCGTACTATCACCATCTAATTCCGGACATTCAACAGGTATAGGTGGTATATTGAGAAAATAATCCGATGTTGATACAGTTTTAGCTATCTCATCATGCCCATGTATACTGAAATACAAAAGTGTAAATTATGCTCTCTAATCTGAAAATAAGTCATGACCAGTTCAACACAAAACAACCCTGGAACGGTTCACGCAATCTCAAAATCTTTCACATTGATTTGATAACTATAAACATGTTCACCGAGATAACATAGTACAAAATAATATGAAACACTCTTTTCCAAATTGTATATATGTGTCTGATTTCATTGAAAATACCAAAGGCTAAACAAAAAAAATAAAATCATTATCTAATATTTCATTCATATTTTATCAAATAAATACGGTTTTATTTATCTCAAAGATATGTGCAAGGAATAAACAAAATTCATATACATATAATAATCAAAATTGGCCATATAGTGAACTATGTCAATCAAAAGATTGATCCAGCCTTTGCAAGGTTCCAGTGTTTTTCATATTAAAAATGATCACAAAGTATTTTATTTTAGATTATTTGAAGTTTTTATTCTTATAAAAGATAAACTTGTATTTATTTTATTAATGGTTTTAAAACTTACGTTGGTTCATAGCATGATAAACATGTTATCTTGGGATATTCAAATGTAAAGAAAGCTTCAGCAAATCTCTTCACCTGAATATAAACAGATATAAAAAGTGTCAGTACTATATATATATATATTGATATACCACTAACAAATGGGTAGATGCAAGTAAGTCAGTGTTACTTCAAAAGCAAAAAAATTACTTGCTGTTTACCGCTTCAACAGTAGTTCAAATGAAGACAATGCCTCTTGGGGGAAATAATTTAATGAATGAACTCTTCATTAATTATGTGTCACAACTCTTCTTCGATGGTGTATGAAAATCTGTTATGAGAAATTATATTTGTTAAGACGATAGAAAATGTTGCTTACCCTTGCTGTATGATGTTCCTGAGCTAAGTAACTATGAACAGGTTTAGCTAGGGTTACAGCTTCTAAATATTTGGTCCACAATATAACATTTTCAGCACACAGTTGTGTTATATCTGTTATCACTGTCTGTATTAAATCATCTTCGTCATCAATACTCTAAAAAAAATTAAAAATTCTGATCATTCCTATTCTGTGTTTCAGTAAGAAAAGATTACAGAGCAAGGCTACATTTTTAAGAATGGTTGAAAAAAACAAACTCAATTTCTAAATGAAACTTTCATAAAGCCAAATTTCAAATAATTTGTATATACATGCAAGAATAATTTAGGAAATGAAACTTCATATTTTGCATTTAAAGGGGGGTGGAGTGGGGGAAGACTTGATGTGCCAGTGTTTAGTTGTTTCAATTGACAAATTTGCTTTGCAGTGATCAAATTCACTAAAAAGGAGAAAAAACTATGACTTGAATACAACACTATCTCGGAACAATCGCAATAGCTGTAATATTTGATTATGTCACACTTCTACTCATACCACATCTGTTAATTTCATGTTTTTTGATTGTAATTCTGTCAATTCGGAATGTTCCATACTGACAATCGCACCCTCAATGTCTTGTTTTTGAAGAGTAAAGGGGAAATAACTCTTTACAAACTTCAAACAGAAGTCCTAAAAAAATACTAGATTTACCTGTAAGTTGGCTAATATAATCTGTAATTTCTCATGGCAATCTTTTATTTCTGTAAATATCAATTTATAGAATTAGTTAATTCTAATATATATACTGACTTAAGGCCAGAAAGATGGGAAATTCTTATATAGGTTCAAGCACAGGAGTCTGACCTCTTTATTCCGTATATGCATACATCATCCCTAAAAAGACAATATATAATAAAAAAAGAACAGGCCTGTTGAAGCCTCGGATTTGACCTCTGATGACAGCAGGTTAACGGATGAAAATAATGTAAATATTAGAAACAAGCATATTCCTCGCAGTGTTTCGTTTGATTAGAGCTAATCCCATTACTCTAAATTATGACTGGTCAATAGTTAGGGTGACCCACCATAAATAAATATCTCCAAATATATCGACAATTACGCCACAATATTTATATATATGCCAAGCCTCAAATCAGTTTCACACAATTATAGTCACTAAATAAACGTTCATGTTGTACTTAATAAGCTATGACCATTAATCATCTATAAATAATAGACTGAAAACTGGTTCCAAGTGTCGTCCATAACATCCAGACACTTTTGAGTAAAAGATAGGTTACGTGCCCTTGTTTTGAAATTAGTCTCGCTTAACCAGTCTATCGACAATTCTACGTCTGATTGACAGGTCGGGATAATCAAGACTACTTTTTTACGAAACATAACAGAAAGCTAGAACAAAAAATTGAATTTAGAAATAAGCACGTTAGCTAGCTCAACAATTGTTTTAAGAAGCTTGTAAAAGTAAAATGAAACTACTGCTAGAATCATGTTCCTGTCTAACCCGAGTGTTTCAGAGATATTATTTGTACTAAACCAAAAGATGCCGCTCTTAACAGTACAGTTAATGATAAAGCGATTTAAAAAATGAAACGAACGTAATTTCTAAATCTGCTGTAATAACCAAGAAGCTTAATTTTACTGCTATTCAAAACCGTCAACAATAATTTTGTTACGGCTGTAATAGTTGATAGATTTGTAGAGAATTGCACGTGCCATGGCTATTTATAGTATCATACTGTCAGAAAGTTGGTCTCGACACGGCGAATGTGCACACTTCAGTGGTAGTCTCGAACTATCAGCGGTGGGCTGTATTTCTGTAGAGTGCATGGGTCACCCTACAATAGTCCGATTAACAACCAATAGCTAACTGCGTAACAAAACCAAACAGAGCTCAAAATTGGACCAAATATGTTTACATAACGTTACGTCATGACTCACGATTTTATTATGCCCAATTAACCAGTGCATAGCAGAATATTGCAGAAAAACTAATTGTGTGACAAACAAGGCTATCAACTGTCAACACGGATATAATGTAAACAATATTGTTTTGAGACGAACAACACTTTCACCATTTTTAATACCTTAAATCACTGTCCAAAGTTTTAGGGAAGGCCCCTGATTTTAAAGAAGGGCTTTCATGTTGCTGTGCTTGGGGATAGATTTGATTGAACTGGAAGAATAGACACACTTCCCCAAAAGTGCAAGTATCAGAAGCTAATCCAGCAATGGCCAGAGAGGCAACCCTACTCCCTGTCATGAACAAGCCTGGGATCGAAACCATGTCACTTGACTTAATGGTAGATCTTATGATCTAAAAATCATGACTTAGACCATTTATTTACCCAATCTCACACATGTAAGACTAAATCTTTTATCATAAAATACCTAAATTAGATATTCCATATCTTTTATATAGATTACTGGTATTGATAGTTATACATACTGATATAAATAAATCTTAAAAAACATCCATCAATGTAAATTTAAAATAAAAAAATTTGTAATGTATGTTTAATATTGTTACACTGTTAATGTGTTCTATGTTATATGGCAGATTTAAATTCATACACGTACCAAGCTTGGATTTTACTTGAGGAAGTTTACTGAGGTAGAATAGAAAGGTGGACTGAAGACTCTCGTTAGCTGATAATAATAGTTTACAGATTAACTTGTGAACACTGTGAGCTTGTAATAATCTCATACTCATAGAAGTAGAAGTCATACTCATCTGAAAATACACAAAATCCATGGTTATCTAATGAAACATGTCATAAAATATCTAATATCTAATGGTGAATTATAACTAGATGAATCATGTTTGAAATAGCTTTATTTAACATCTGCTTTCACCAGGGTGAATGATATCTCAGTGAAAAATTCATTAGAAAAAGATATCTTTGTTACAACAGCATAAGACAATTTTGTTTTACTTGTTAAAAGAACTTGTAACAGAAGCAAAATGTTTGTTTTATTATCTTTAGATTTAAGAAGATTTTCTGAACCTTGTATGACAGTAAGACATAAGTAATGTTTTTCACAAGATACAGATGTTCAATTAAGTCCTACTATAACATCAGAAGAAATTTCCTTCTTGAACTATCTGCATAATATTACATAGCAAAAATAAGTATAATACTTACAGTAGAAATAGGTCTCTGACCAAAATAAACTGTTTCTAATGTAGACTGATCAGGTGGTTTATTAGCCCAGGCTGTTTTAGCTGGTCGAGGCATACTGTAATGATGCAATATCAATTAAAATAATTATCCTTTCTAACTTAATATAAAGTAAACAGAAGTGAGTCTGGTTTGAGAGTTAAAACAACTTTTTAATGCAGGTAGACATCTCTCCTTTTAAATACCATAAAACAAATTATGTGCTATGAGATTACTGCAGTCTTCACATTTTGTTTTAAGATGATGTTTATTTATTTAGTTGGCTGTTTTACACTAACTTAAAATACAGTATCTATCTATTCAACTTCTGCAATACTGATATCGCAGACACATCAGTTTTAATTAAACTAAGACTGTTTTATATGCCCACATTTTAATGTAGTAGTATACTGCCATCACCTTGCCTGTTTGTCTGCCCGTCACACTGTCCGTCGGTCTATATTTTTCATTACCTGGCAACCTAAATTTATGTTTCTATACATTTATCTTTATCCTTTATAAAATGAATATGAGTTTTCAACATACGTACTTGAGGTAAGGTTGGTGGATGGCAATAAGACAGCCATGTATAGTCACCTCTACACAAGCTAAGTGGAAATAGTCAAAAAGAACAGGCACATGATGGTGTAGTCCTTTAGTTGGACTAAAATGAAGTTGTAGAATTCTTTGGCTTACCATTTCCATTCTCTCTAATAATGAAGATCTGTTAAGAGATAATAATACATAAAATCAGCCAAATTTACCAATACATTGATGTGAATATTTGCTGCTGATGCATCCAAGTGTATAATTTTACTTGATATCAGCAATAACAAACACTGAGATTTTATTAAGAGGTCATTTGAGTGGCTGCTTATTACAGATTCTACTGTAGTTCATAGTTGTATTTGAAATGAACAAGACATTCAAATTCTAATCAGATCTTCTACTTCCTTCATTTATATTCCCAGTTACACATCTACCTCTAGAATTAGAATGTAGACATTGTAGGTGTGATTCATATTCTACTTAATGACATTGTCACCAGTATACAGCTGTCTGAACAGACATATGAAACAATCACATTTATCATATACAGTTTGACTATAAAACACAAACAATCAAACTTATCATGTGTTATGAAGCCTAACATAAACATCTTCAAAAGATTTTATATTTATCAAGAAAATATAAACTTTCTTCTGTTTAATGTTAGAGTTATATTTAAATATAGAACTACAATCCTTGCCAAATTGCATTAAAGCCGGGCCATATATTCTATACATTTATTAATCATATGTTATTCTACAAAGTGGTATTATGTGGTCCACGGGCTAAGCGTCTTCCTTCCTTCAGGTGTTAAACACTGTGTAATCCTATCAGGGTTCCAGAATATGGGGAAAGCTACTTTAGGATATTACCCAAAATCTTCTTCTCCAAACCATAGTTCAACGCATAACTGTAACTCTAAATTTTCCAAATTTTCTTCCAACTGTAAAGAAAGTTGAATTTGATAATTAAAACGATTTATTCAATGTACTGAACACTTAAATGATGGTATTCATAATCCAAAACTTTGTTATTTCTACATGTATTGTTACAAATTTAAGCATGGTTGCATATTATCTCTGAACCTACGTCAAATCATTTTGAGATTTTTTTTAATCAAATATAACTGCTAAAAACTGGCTATCTGCATTGTCTGATGGCATAATCATCAATACATGTATATGTAAATTTCAGGACTAAACAAACATCAATTTTTGCAAAAATTCTATCGAAACCGAATTACAAGAATCCTCTGAATCTAAAGTTAATTGTGAAGAGATCTGGGGTTTAACATAAAATAATTTCTATTGATTTTCTGGATATTGGCACTCTATGGAAAAGCTTTTTGAGGTTAAGATATATGATGACCTTTGCATGAATTAGAATCTGTCCAGTGCATTGAAGTCAATTTCTTGGTGATATACTAATGACAATTATTTGACTTCTAAAGAATACTAAAACATGTTTACTATATATTTTCAGCAGTATTGAATAAAATAATTGTTATTTCACAATTTTTTGGACAAAGAAAAGCACATACTTTGATGTGATACAAAATGTTACACAATTGTCATATAGATTGCAATATATATATACTCTTCAAAAAAAGTAGGGGATATTGAAATTCAAAGTCCTATGCAGGTTGTGATATGATAAATAGTCATGGACACTAGACATGCTTTGAGAGTATGTTCACAGATGAAGAACTTATCGCCCCAACAGAAACACTGAGCTGCACATGCGACACGCAATAGCGCCAATAGGGGTTCATTGTCAAATTTGACACTTCAAGGAAGGGTTGATGAAAACTGTTGTTTGCTGGTTTATCCTATCGGTTCTTGCATAAGATTTACTGTTTAGCGTATCTTTGCTTTAGTGTGTTACGATTAATTTGATCGGGAGAGGTGTTCGTTGACTTCAACGTCAACTAACAACACTGCAAGAATTGACCGTGGCACTGCAAGAGGAGTGGATCAGATTGACCCAAATCGTAATTGGACGGTTGATTTAGGAGCATGCCACGACGAATTGCTGAATGTATCAGGATTGGTGGAGCAGTTACTCATTATTAAGACAAAAATCAAAAACGTCCATTTTCACTTTTGACAGTGTACCTCTTTGCGAGTGAAATGGGGCTGTCAGATAAGCCACCCATATGAACTGTTTATGTTCATGTGTTGGCAATTGGCCTGTTATTAACATACACTGGTTACCTCTAATAAAAACAGCAGTGCATTTCCACAGTTTTGTATTGTTTCTGAATATCCCCTACTTTTTTTGAAGAGCATATATGGAGATATTATAATACAGTAAGAAGTATAGCATTATACTATTGCAATACTCAACCCTGATTGTCAAGATTACTGGAGATTTTGTGGCAGATTAAATATAGAGATATAAAGTTCTCACCTTAGTACTATCTACTAATGTATGTATTCGGAATATCATAGGATCATTGATTATAACATCTTCATTACGATATAATATCTGAAATGTTTTACTTATGGCCACATTATCTATAATACTGGAAGGCAGCAATGAATCACATTCTGAAAATGATTAATATCAAATATCAACAATGTGGTTATTATCTTTATTGTTAACAAAACTTGATCAAGCTTGTCTAATCGTTTGCAGGAAAGAATAAAAATAGGGCTAAAAAGGTTATATTCATAGTTCTTGTGCCTTTCTAGAAAATTGGACCAACGGTTTCTAAAGTGGGCTTGCGTTGGTTAGTTCATAATGATCACAGTCACACTGAATGCTGATTTTACTATTCAAGTCATTATTCAAATGCTACATGTGTTATGTGATTCAATTCAAATTCTACATGTAATAGTATATGCACTCCAATTCAAATGAATAATTGCTTTAATTTCATTTCAATTGACATTGAATGATGAATACCAAACAATCAGTTTAAATAACTCTGAACAAATATTTCAACATGAATATTTGTGTAAGCACCAGTTATTGGCTCATTGTAAGATTAGTAGTAAGTCATCATGCATTGTCTTGTTGACGGTTATATAAGACAGCTATTAATTTCTAAACTTACCCTTACCTATATCTTTTGGAAAACAGACTTCAATTTTTGCAGGTGCTTTTGGTGGCATACGTATAGATGTACGTACATGATAAAATCTATAAATATAAGTTAAAAATTTGTATTTTTAATCTAACCGAAAACAAAATAATAAATACATGTAATTACTAGCTACAAACCAAAAATTTTTTTAAACGAGATACTAATTCGTTCAAACGAGATACTGACTCGTTCAAACGGATTAATATTTTTTGTTGTTTGGCACTAATGGGCCTTCGTAACAAAGTAAGATTTAGCAAGTGCATTTGTATGCTGTTCAGATAGCTATATCTAAGCTAGTTTAAAAAAATGTCAACATTTTTAATCCAGGAGAGTGCAGATTTCTAATAGCTACAGACCAAAAATTTGTTCAAACGAGATACTAATTCGTTCAAACGAGATACTAATTCGTTCAAACGAGATACTAACTCCTTTAAAAGCCTAAAAAGGATTAATATTTTTTTTTTTTGTTTGGCACTAATGGGCCTTCGTAACAAAGTAAGATTTAGCAAGTGCATTTGTATGCTGTTCAGATAGCTATATCTAAGCTAGTTAAAAAAAAATGTCAACATTTATAATCCAGGAGAGTGAAGATTTCTGATAGCCTGTAATTGAAACCAGTTGGCTTAACCAAAGCTGTCACTTGTAAGCCAGCCCATTCAGATTGCCAAAATTAGCAAGAGTAGCAGAGATCCCGCAAGAAGACAGGTAGCTGGTTTATTTAACCAATCTTTGCATCCAGATGACAATTAAAGGTAGCTGAATGATTGCAGAATTTTTAAACAAGCTTTATTTAAGAGTCACACCAGCATAATGGACAAGTAACATAATAAATACAAATCTAAATTTAAGAATCAAAATGTAATGTCGACCAGAACATTCACAGATTCCAGTTATCTGTTTCTTGTCAATAATAGCAACCATCCAATGATGAACGATGTAGAGAATAAATCAGATTTATTAATGTGGAGCTCTTTATCACTCAGTTTATAGTAACAACCTTCATCAATTACAGTAGGCCTAGTATAGATCTAATTGGATTGGTGTTACTCTGGGTGATTACAACTTTACAATACAATACAATCAAGCTTTGCTGTATGACAGAGGTACATTTTTGGAACAGGAACAGGGCCACAAGATTTACTCATCATGTTTTTGTTCTTCTTCTTGAGGCCGACGATCTTCAAAAAATCCTGAAGGCTCCTTCAATTCAAGTATCGTACTATCAAGGTGAAACTTGACATGCTTATTCCTTGAACAATTGCGTTTAGATTGTGACTTTGATTTTTTATATGACGTTAATTTCCAAGACGTCTGCAATGACATCATACTCTGTTCCTGGTTCATTGTACTCTCGTACTTGTTATTATTGCATATCAAATATTATTTATAGCAACAAAATATTGTCTGTGCATATTTACCCTCTTTGAAATAAATCCACATTATAAAACTTATTAAGTTCCACAGAGAATTCGATAGTTGCTTGTAATTCACACATCTCATCTGAAAAAATAAATTATAAAAAAAAATAAATACTATATTAAAACCACAAATCTGACAGAGACACAAGTATAAATATCCAACAGAGTATAATAAATAATTTCCAAAATGTTTTGAAATGAGTCTATAGTAAGCACAACACAATAAATTGGAGATCTGTGTAACTACATATCAATGAATAAATATAGCTTTAGTTTTCTTTCCATTTGATTATTCTAAGAATATAAAACAATAATATTAATAAGTCAATCTATTTTCTATACATTTTGATCAATACAATAGCGTTTACACATCATGGACTACAAATCACAATTTAAATTGTAATCTAAAACACAGACAATCTTTATCTATCATGGTTTGTGTTCATATTTACTTCCGATTAAATACAGTAAACCCAAATATACAAAGCCACCTCACCACAGAAACATACAATCAACATATCTATAAATACCAGCAGCTTTTTGAAAGGTAGTTTTCAGGGTAATGGGGCAATACATACGCATAAAATAGTTGGGTGGGTCTAATTCTTCATTATGATTAGACAAGCAAATCACACCAATTTTAAATAAAAAAATCCCAATGAGTCTGTAAAGGGTTTGGTTCAAGGGGCAATAACACCCCAAAATTTACACCGATTCTGAATTTCAGCATTCTGATTCAAATTGAGGTCTAAATTTCATTTTGTTTTTTTTTCTACTTTCGACTGCCTCCACTCCATATAGATCTGACAAGATTGCACGGGAGGTCACCTCAGGGGTCATATAGCTATATTTTGTCTGAATGATGAAAATTATTTATATTTGGGTTTCTCGGTATTTTGTTATCTACTGCTTTTTTAGAAATCCTCTATAATGCAGTACACAGGTTCTGTAAATCACGACTAATTCCATACATCACACAGAATACAGTTTATTTAATAAACTCTTCCAGATCAAACAGTCATGTTGAACTTTAATATACAAAGATAGGTTGCCAGCAGCTAAATTGTACAGGAAGCCAACACGAGTTGTCAGATGTTTTTACTTTTTCAGTAAATAAACATTTATAATACACTAAAATCTGCTTTAGAGTAACAACTCATTAAGTAATTATCAGAAAATCATTAGAATTTGTTTGGTTTTTATAAATTTCTGCCCCATGCTAACGTTTAGTATACAAAATATTTAATATAATGGATTTAGCTGTTCAAGTTATCAAAAATTCATTGAAAATCAATATACTCGTTCGTTTCAACACCTTAAACTCTGTGTATCAATCTGAAGTCAATCGGATGATAACATAAGCCTCTAGAGCGTCACAACTTTGGCAGTAATAATCGGAAATCGTTGAAAATCAATAGGATTCTTCGTCTCATGACCTCAAACACTGTGTATAAATTTTAAAAGTCTGGCAGTAATTATCGGAAATCGCTGAAAATCAAGAGGTGTCTTCATCTCATGACCTTAAACACTGTGTATAAACTTAAAGTCAATCAGATATTAACTTTAGCCTCTAGAGCGTCCACAAGATTTTTTGAAGTGATCAAGGGCTATAACTCTGGCAGTAATTTCAATGTGGGCGTATAAAATGAACAAGCATCCATGCTTTAATCAGACTGGAATTTTAATAGGGTTACTCCTAAAGACTAGTCAAATAATCACCTTCTAAAATTGGTTCATATAAGACGCATTAAATACTCATCAGTCATAGTAATAGTACAAATTAATTTTGATAGTCTATATAACATAAACTATCTTCTATTTTACAATACATACATGTAGTTCAAACACATGATCAATCATAATTATACCTATAACAGTATGGAATTTTTTATTACTATCAATTTATACTATCTTTCTTAAAATAGGTTGGTTCATCTGTTTCTATCCTATAACAAAACATACATTCTGATAACACTGTGTAAGTTATTCGGATAAATATTTTCAAAAAATTAGAAGCCACTCTAAAATTTAGATTGTGCCTCCCCAAAAAGTGGAATTGATGTTTGCATGGAGTGGTTTTAAGTTCACAGACTATCTCTTAATATCTCATGTGATGAACTAGAGAATCGCTAATGCTGCAATATATGTCATGGCTGCTTTCATTGATATGGTACTTTTTAAAATGAAGAGAATGAAATATGAAATAGTTGCACTGACTGTAATATGGTAAGCGGAAGAAAAGGCTAGGCGTTGAGCTTGTTTTGCCAAATTTTGAGACTAAATATTAACAAAAAAGTGGGTGTAACACTGCCACAGGGGGTCGGGGGCAGTGGCTGCCAGGCAGGATACACCCACATTTTGCAAGAGATGGATAGAGAACAAACTAAAAACAAAAATTATTTTTTGTACAATCAGGGGCCATAATCCAGAAAGTTATGGTCTAAAATGCGCAAATATCAAAAGGGACAGATTTTTGGAATATAAAGATATGTTTTAAGTTTCATCAAAATCGGATAAAAATTGTGACCTCTAGAGCCAGTAGAGGGTCCACAACCTTTGTATTACATACTTATACACTGCCATTATGTAGGGGAGTTTCATTTCGATTTTCCCGAAATTCCAATTCAACCTTTATTATGGTGGAATGGTGATATATCTAACCGGTTTTAAAATCGGAAAAAAAAAATTGTTACCTCTAGAGAATCCACAAGCTAAAAATGTGAATTTTCGACCAATCAGGGGCCATAATCCAGGAAGTTACATTCGGATATATGTGATTATCAAAAGGAACAAAGATCTTTATGATAAAACAATATGTTTAAAGTTTCATCCAAATCGGATAAAAACTGTGGCCTCTAAAGGCTCCACAACCTTGATATACCATATTTTTTTCTCTATTTTAGTACAAGAGGCGGCCATTTTGTCCGGCAGTTTTGGTCCGATTTTCACGAAATTTGAACTCAACCATCATTAGGGTGTAACGGTGAGGTACTAAAACATTTCTTTAAATCGGATAAAAATTGTGACCTCTAGAGGGACCACAAGCTAAAAACGCAATTTTTTCGTACAATCAGGGGCCATAATTCGGGAAGTTAGGATCTGATATGCGCGAATATCGAAAGGAAACAAGATATTTGGGTTATAAACATGCATTTCAAGTTTCATCAAAATCAGATGAAAATTGTGACATCTAGAGGGTCTACAACTTTGATATACCATATTTTACACTATTTGCGTACAAAGGGCAGCCATTTTGTCCATCAGTTTTGGTCCAATTTTAGGGAAATTCAAACTCAACCATCATTGAGGTGTAACGGTGATATACTAAAACGTTTTTTTAAATCAGATAAAAATTGTGATCTCTAGAGGGACCACAAGCTTAAAACGCAATCAGGGGCCATAATTCAGGAAGTTATGATCCAATATGCGCGAATGTCAAAAGGAAACAAGATATTTGGGTTATAAACATGCATTTCAAGTTTCATCAAAATCGGATCAATATTGTGACCTCTACAGTGTCCACAAGCTAAAAACCTGATTTTTCGTACAATCAGGGGCCATTATCCATGAAGTTATGGTCCAATACATGTCAATATCAAAAAGAACCAAGATCTTTGGGAGATAGACCTATATTTCAAGTTTCGGATAAAAATTGTGACCTGTAGAGTGTCCACAAACAAATTCTGGACAGACAGGGGTGACGACATTATACGTCCACATGAAAATGTGGGTGTATAAAAAAGGTAAATCTAATGTGAGTTACTTGAAAAGTTGTCCGATGAACTTTCAATCTGTAGCCTTCTAAATAGTACAAGTTTATAAAAGCTCTCATCTTAAAAATTGTCACTGAACTACATGTAAGAAGCTTTAATAACATATCTACATAATTTGAATATAGAAAGAGATGAATCTTTTCAACTATAAAAGTCTGGGTTACAATATATCACTTTTGACAAAATTTGAAAAGGACTTACACATCTTGTGGAGAACTCCAATTATTATAAAGTATAAAGTTATCCAAGTAACTGCTAACCTTGCAATTCTACAATCAATTAAACATAGATTATGCAAGAGTTAACTCTGATTATTTCAAGTCTTTATTTAGGCTTCAGATGTCATAGAAATTATAAATTAGGTCTTTATTTACACAACAAGCACAAAATCAACTCTGTAGACCCATGGATGGCTTGGATTCGGCTTGGATTTAAACAAGATTTCATTGATTGATTACATTTTTAAATGGCGTCGTAAGCGGAGATTAACCATTACGTTGACGTCATACTCCCGGAAATTTTAGATAGAGGCTAAATGATAGAGTGTACGAAGCGCGGCCGCATATCAGTCAATTTGATTAAAAGTTCGATATATACGGCCTTGATATTATGTTTAGTTGTGGTATTATACGCTCTTTTGTCACTTGCGTTTACAGAAAATTTATGGAAATTGATAAACATCGCAGCTAACATCACCCCAGTTGAATTGCAGCCCCATTGGATCACTGTTTCCTATTTGTCTGCTTCGGGAGTTACGTAGGCCTACCACACAGAGTACACACAGGCTAACAAGAAGTCAGCTATAATTATGCCTCATTGATTTGATCCATTCCTTTCAAACTTTCGCTTCTTATCTATATATTAAAAGTCTTATTTTTAATTTGTAGTAAAAATAAATGTGATACGAATTGAATTGCAACCCCGTCTCAAACCGAATAGGCTAACGGTACCAATCAAACGATTGGCCATTCTCGGAGACGGTGAAGAGAGATTTGACTCCTATTTCTAGTCAAAAATTACAATGGTGATAACTTTGTTCAGAATACAGTAATTTGACTGAAATATTTTCAATATATTCTTCTTTTTTCATTTATTTTTGAACTGTTATAGCAAGAATGGCCAACTCTCTATTAAAATCTCCCATAATGTATCTTTAATGTGTTAACAAATGTCAGCGTAACTGATGTATTACAAACTGTTCCTAGTCTGACCAACATTCTAAATATATTTATAATAAAACACCAAAACATAATCAAATATATCAGTCTAATGCTTAGATGATTATAAATTGTTTGATGGATAACATTTG